TGGATAATGGGTTGTGAGCTTTTAGCTCGAGAAGAGTATTTATTAAAAAAAGGAAGAAAAACGGTGTCATGAAAGTGTTCGTAATATGTTAAAAAATAGAAAAAGAAAAACAACTAGAGAGTCGGACATTCTTTTTTCAAGTATGCAGAAATAAACAGACATTTGAAATCATTGATCGAAGATGGTAACTCTATATGCACCAACCTTTACATGCAGTGGTATTATTTAAATCTAGAATTTACTTCTAAACATTTAGCAAAATAAACGAAGTTATTGGTCGTTTGCATTCCAGTTATCAAAGTTATTTCCTTCTCTAGTCCGTCCTTAGATTGATAAATAACCCTACAGCTCTGTCAAGCTCCACAACAGCCAATTCACTTCAATATGTAGAAAAATGTGTGAGCTTCAATGATAATCAATGATCCCCCCCTAGCCCTCTAACAACAGTCTCAAACAATAGCACTCATGATCCCCCCCTACAGGATCCCCAGACTATATTGGAAAATTTTGTAAAAAATGAGAAAACGTCACACAGATGATTTCTCCCTCCCCATGGGCCATGGTAAAGACAGTCCTTGATATTCCTCAAGACTCAAAGGTATATATCTAGCCACTCCCTATCTCCAAAGCATATCATCTAATAATCAATACCATCTGCAGGGGGCCTCAGGGATCATATTAGCAATAAAAACTAACGATTAACCTCTCAACTTCTTTCCCACTAATAAGAGTACAATAATTTTAATTTGCTCCATGCATACACGACTATTCTTTCTCCCAGCACTAGCAAGCTCGTGTAATACTTTGACAAAGAGAGAGAGAGAGAGAGAGTTACCCTCATGACTCCACTTCACTTTGACCTTCAGCTATCAATTTATCTCATCTTTAAGGGGAGCAATTCCTCTAGTTCCTTCTTTAGGCTCCCCCTAAATCTCTAAATTATTGTAACACCATGCCCCTTCTCTTTCAACCCATCAAACTCCACAGTGAATGTCTATTCTGAAGTAGTTTATCTATTTTCATTTAATTCAAACCAAGTCATTCATCTCACATGAAAAATGTGGAGGAAATATATATATATCACAAACACTTCTCACCGTAATTATGTCAGAAATTCCTTGTACTCCTTGACGTAGGACATCATCAGCAAGAAGGAAAGCATCTTGAAGAGGTGTCTGCTCATCAGCAATATCAAGCAACCGATCATTGGGGATTACTATAAGAGTGTCAACATTTTTCTGCAGCTTTTCAATGGCCTCCAGAGCCTGAGAAGAAATCAGCATTAAAATATTAGAAAAAATGAATTCAAAATCTTCCATATCACTAGATGAAAAAGGCCTGCCCTCCATCTTATCCACAAGAGAGTGATATTTCAAATATAGCCGTTGATTGCATGAAAACATAATTTAAAACCAGTAGCCAGCTTATTCCAAAACTTACAACCAACCGACCCCCAATAGCCAGAACAGAAACCATTGACTAGTTGGATTAAAAAAAGGTCCTTCAACGCATTCTACAGAAGGCTACCCCTTATTCAGTCGATTATCATTTTTACCTAAGCAAAAGGAAACACCACATCCTACTTTGTTACACACCACAAACAAAAATTTGAAGGGCTAAATCACACACATTCCTAAGATAATCTAACCCCAGGGAAGTTAGGAAGAGGTTAAGTCCATCAAATCTCAAAGGAATCAGTCAATAAGTAAATATGCAATCCTCTTTCGTTTTAGAAAAGGAAGAAATATACCTGCAAGGATCGCTTTCTTCCTTCGAAACTGAATGGAAAAGTAACAACACCAACAGTCAGGTAACCTGCCTCCTTGGAAATCTGGGCAACGACTGGGGCTGCACCAGACCCAGTGCCTCCACCCATACCTGCCGTTATGAATACAAGATCAGAGCCCTTGAGAGCACTGGCTATCGCTTCCTTTGATTCTTCTGCCGCTTGTTCCCCTAAAAGTGGATTCCCACCAGTACCTGCATCTCTATCAAGGTACAAATCAACGAAAGTCAAAGGCATTCATCAATAGAAATCAACTACTTAAGCCACAGGGGTACGTAGTCACATGAACTTCAGAACACATTCCCAAAAAGCCACAAGAACCAAATGAAAAGGCGAGGTTCCTGACCTAGCCCACGTGTCAGAAGGTCTCCAATTTGAAGTGGATTCTCAGCAGCAGACTGTAATAGAGCTTGAGAATCCGTGTTTATAGCATAGAAATCAACACCCTAACACAAAACTCAATAACCGTAACCATCAGTCTCCATTATACCCAGGCAACAAATATAAACTTGAGCGCACATTATACCGTTAATACAAACAACAAAACAAATTTATATTTAATCGAATGATCACAAATTTCACCAGTTTCAGGAAGTAATGAAGCTGGTTTATGGGTCCAATAAATGATTTAATTCTTATATAAACGCTACGTAACACATTTATCCATCGCCAGAAGACGTAAGAAACTACAGGCTCAATCCGATAACGGACTCCAAAGAAGAAATGCACAAATCTACACGAATTTCTACTCTAGAATGCTCCGAAATCCAAGTCGCTGTACATGAAGCAAAATTTATGCAATGCAAGGAGAAAAACCCACCTTCAACCCGCTGCCAATCATGCGATTAACAGCATTGTTGCCGCCTCCACCAACACCCACTACCTTAATCTTAGCGGAATCCATATGCGAAAATGAGCAGCCCACAACAACAACATGGTGTCTTCGAGAAGGACATTTCCGCTTGCCATTAGAGGAGGAACAAGTCCAGGGAAAGATGGAGGGGAAGAAGGATGTCTTGGGATAGAACTGAGGGGGAAGCGAAGAAGATGATAGATTTGTGAGTAGAAAAGATGCCATAATCGGAGAATTGTCACAGCTTGGCCAGTCCTGAGTCCCCAAGAAATGGAAGATAGAGAGGGTAAGGGGCAGATGTAGGTTTTTAGGGTTTTAGAAAAAGAAGAATATTATCTTTCAAATTATACCATAAAGGGTTACGGTTATCTATTTCTTCTCCACCTCATTCCAATTATACCATAATAAAAATTCTAAAGTATTTTCTTTTAAAAAATGGTTACAAAAATAATTTGGACCCATTCAAAATTTTGAAATATTGTAAAGTTCAAATATCAAATATTTACTAAGTCTGAACATATCACTCATATCATCAGTTATAAATATTAAAAAAATTTAATCTTTAGATTTAATTGTAACTCTATTTTTGAGTTGTTCAAGTTGATGTTGCTAAGAAAATGTTAACCCACAAACCGTGCCGAATTTTCGGTTTTCAAAATATTCCGCCTAATCGAAACAAAAATAATTCATTCAATCCAACCTTTATAGTTTGGGTATGGACTAAATAGTTAAAAGCCTGTGTAAGTTTCAAAAATTTGTGCGTACTCACAAGCATTTTTTTTTTTTGTGGTTCAGTTATAAAAACTTTTAGGGGGTGTTTTACTTGGAGCAATTTTATGTTAAATAACCCCTCATAGGATAGTTTTTACTCTTAGAAGCATGACCACGTGCATAGGGCAATCAGATGCCGAATTCGAATTCCAAATCCTAATTCAAATTACGGTGGAGAGAATAGTTTTTGATGGTATTCATTATCAAAAGACTACTCATAACTCCGCAACAAAAGGGAGTAATTGATATATTATGGTGGGTTATATTGAGTAATTATAAAGCTTATTGGTTATATAATTTTAGAACTGAAACATAGCTTGCAAACCAAAAATTTCATTTCATGGAGGTAGTTTTAAGATTTCGAGCAAGGAGACATTCACGGAGTTGTGATGAAGAAATCTAAAAAAAAATAAATATTAAAAAAAAAACGTATAATGCTACTAAAAAGATTGATGATTTTGCTAATTTTACGTTATTTATCTGATTTTATAAATTTTTATGAGACGGTTCAAGAAGAAAGATTACACTAGATTAAGAAATAAGAAATTGATTCAACAAAAAGAAATGAAATATAGGAGTTGACGTGTAAATTCTATAAATTTGTTTGTGTTGTAATTTTTTATTTAGAAAGGTAAATAAATGAGAGAGTTTTCCATTTTATTAAAGGTTCTAATATTAGAATCATGTAAGATCTTACCGAGAAACTCCCAAGTTATAGGAGGATTTTGTTTTTGATCTTATATTATCACTTACAAAATTAATTCAAACACACCCTTAATGATATGTTGGTTGAGAAAGACTTAAAGAACACCTTTCTTTTCAATAATCCAATTATAGGAAATACAAAGTTAAGCAAATAATTCACTGTTGATTTGTAGGGGAATAGTTTCACTTCAGAGTACCTAAGGCAAGTAGTTTAACTATGTCGTAGAGGATGCATGAGAATATAGAGACTATTGAGTATCGATTTAAATTTCAAATCTCAATTTGAATCCTAACCATCAAGTATTTATACATTATCCACTTTATGAAAAATTTAATATGATCATGTTCTTACAATTGATTTGATATGTACCTAAAATAAAATCTAAAGATTTGAATAAGGTTTTGAAGTTTCTTAGTTTAAAATACCATATTGATTCCTATATTTCTGAATTCATCCAGATACCTTTAATAAATCTAAGAATTTAATTCGTTCAATTTTTTTTAGTAAAATTAGTTATATTACCACTAATTTTCATACCAAAAAAAAAAAAAAAAAAAAAAAAAAAAAAAAAAAAAAAAAAAAAAAAAAAAAAAAAAAAAACAAAAAAAAAA